TTTGTGAATATACATGCTGTACTGCATTGTGTACGGCTGGTATTGGCTCAGCAATCACTGTATTTGCTCCCTTTTGGTCTGTTAAAGATATCATTGAAAGTGTTTTGATAGATGCAAAAAAATACATGTTCAACGTGCCAGAAACCTTGTGGGCTGATAACTTCCATGCTCTCTGCCTCTCTCAGCATTGTTCTCAGCTATCGCTGCGTACTACCAAACTTCTCACCCAATAGAAGTGACAGAGGAAGAGGTAATCTGTAGTGCTAAACACTCCCTGTCCTAGGGTGACAACATTTCTCCTCCATAGATACAGTAAAGTAAGTGAGCGTTGTCACCCTATGACAGGAAGTGTGTTACTGGCAGAAATAAGAAAGCAAAAAAATGCCCCCAACACTTCTACAAACCGGTAAGCTGAAAAAATAATGGCTCATGTATATTCTACTATTTTAGTATGTGTCTACATAATTACACAGATATAAGACATATACATTTTAGTAAGTCCTGTGTGTGTGTATTTGTATCTGTCACTGTGTGTGCATGCGTTATAGTGGAAATGGCAGATAAATACATTAATAAGGAGTAGGGTAGGTGCAAACTGGAGGGACAATACTGTTGATAGTTGGTATTGTTGAGCTTTGCAATTGCAAACTTCATATCTGAACAGCTTGCCATCTTTCAGTAGCTTGGATGCGGCTCTTGTTGACTTGCAGTGTTCTGTTTAGTGCCTGGGCCCATAACCCGTTGGTTATGTGTTTAGATGAAGCACTGAGATCTTGAGGAATGCTGAATAAAGTTTTTATTTTTCTATATTTCCTTTAAAATGCTACATACATACATTTAGGGGTCTATTCAGGAAGCAGCCGAAGGATCTAGCCGTAGCTTCGGACGATCCTTCAGCTAGCTTCGGCCCCAGGACCCCTTCGGTTCAGTAGAACCGAAGGGGTGCTGTACGGGCTATTCACTATAGCCAGTACATGCATTGCTAGATTTCTATTGGCTATTTCAATTTCTAATAGCCAATAGCAAACTAGCATTGCACCCGCAGGTCTCGATCAGGTTCACAATTACTGATTGACAGCAGCAGAGGGCGTGAACAATTCTAGTTTGCTATTGGCTATTGAAAATTGAAATAGCCAATAGGAATCTAGCAATGCATTCCTATGGCGTAAATGTTTTTTTCTTCTTTTTTTTGACGGCAGCAGAACCGCCGGCCAATAGAAAACAGTTGGGCGGAGCTAGCTGTCACTGCTAGCTCCGCACAATCGTTTTCTATTAATTTTTTTCTACTTTTTTAACTATTTTTCTGTTCTGCTCGGTCCCACAGAGGGACCGAGCAGAACAGCCGAGCCGAATGCCGCTCAGCGGCATTCGGCTATTCACTCACTGCTGTTCGGCATCTATAAGAATAGACTGAACAGCAGCGAGTAGCCTGCCGGAGGTTCAGCTTAGCTGATCCAGATGTTGGATCGGCTGAGTCAAACTCCTTCTGCACTTCGGGTCGGCCAAACATGCTGTGCATGTTCGGCCGACCCGAAGCCACCCGATGTACGGCTGATTTTAGCCGGTATACGGCTGAAATCAGCCGTCCCAGCCAGAAGTGAATAGCCGAACAGCGTTCAGTTCGCTTTAGGTCGGTCATTCACTCGGCTGCCTACGGCAGCTTAGTGAATTGACCCCTTAATGTTCTCCTAAGCAAGGAAAACCTCATTCAGCATTCCTCAAGATCTCAGTGCTTCATCTAAACACATTACCAACAAATACATCATGTACTTAAGACAAACAGGGCTATTCACAAAAGGGTGAAGGGTTTGGAGAAGGCAGGAGAAGTGGACAAACTAGCCCGATTTGGAAAAATTCTCCAATTCAGCTCACTTTCCAGTTCAGCTATTTTGGCCTAGATTGTTCACTTCTCCTGCCTCCTCCAAACTCTTCTCCCTTTTGTGAATAACCCTGATAATTTCCCAGCCAGCTAGCCTGTAAACAAAATCCTAGCAAAGTCTCTTTCCAACATTTTAATTAAAAGAGAAGTCTCAGATGCATACTGCTGCAAATATATTTGCATGGTCATGCTGTGATCAAGGTGTCTCTACCAGTGTGGTTCCTACAAAAATCAATCAGCATGCAAAGACTACAGCCTGCATAGTAATGACTAAATTAAAAGCAAATTTACTTATGTGATATAACATACCTCCTTTAAGATAACCAGACTCACCCAGGGCAGCTAAAAATGTCTGATGTGTGTACAAAATGTGAGTATGTGTGTCAGGCCACACACACATATATGTAAATAATACAATTTGTTTGGTTATTTTATTTATTGACAGATATTTGATATTTCCTGGGATCCATATCAGCCCAACAGGTTGATCAGCTGTGGAGTAAAACACATAAAGGTAAGTTTTTGGAAGGTTATTTTCTAGTGTTTTCTATGCTAGTTTGTAATTAATATTTAAAGATTTAAAGATTTAACAAAACAATATGTTCTGTAGTATATATAAAAAACACAACATCACACATTATAAAATTTGAGGAATGGTAAGCTAACAAAATACATTAAGACGAGTTGTTCAGGTCAACCAATTATACGGATATCTTTGTAAAATACGGGACCATACTATTTACATCTCATTTTTAAGGTTCAGCTGTTGCACATTTCTAAGTACATTTTGTGGAATGGACTTATCTTGATTTTATTATCTATGGCCATGTTAGGGAAGGAACTTAGACAAGAAAAAAAAAGTATATATATATACTTACATTATACACCAAACAGCCATAATGTTATGACCACCCGCCTAATATTGAGAAGGTCCCTCTTTTGCCGCCGAAACAGCCCTGACTTGTCAAAGCATGGACTCCACTAGATCTCTGAGGATATGCTTGGTATCTGGCACCAAGCCGTCATTAGCAGATCCTTTAAGTCCTGTAAACTGCAAGGCAGGGCCTCCATGGATCAGACTTGTTTTTTCAGCACATCCCACACATGGTTGATTGGATTGAGATCTGGAGAATCTGGATGCCAAGTCAACACATTGAACTCGTTGTTGTGTTCCTCAAACCATTCTTAAACCATTTTTGCAGTGTGACAGAGTTCATTAGCCTTCTGAAAGAGACCACTGCTGTCAGGAAATACTTTTGACAGGGTGTACTTGGTCAGCAACAATGTTTAGGTAGGTGCTACATGTCAAAGTAACATCCACATGAACAGCAGGACCCAAGGTTTCCCATCAGAACATTGCCCAAAGCATCACACTGCCTCCGCCAGCTTGCTTTCTTCCCATAGTGTATCCTGATGCCATCTCTTCCCCGGGTAAGCAACACACGCACCCGGCCAACCAGATGATGTAAAAGAAAATGTGATTCATCAGACCAGGCCACCTTCTTCCATTGCCCTGTGGTTCAGTTCTGATGCTCACAAGCTCATTGTAGGCGCTTTTGGCAATAGACACGGGTCAACATGGGCACCCTGACTGGTCTGCAGCGACACACAGCCCCATATGCAACAAACTGCAGTGCACTGTGTGTTCAGACAACTTTCTAGGGGAACCAGCATTAACTTTAGCAGCAATTTGAGCTACTGTAGCTCTTCTATTGGATCAGACTACACAGGTCAGCTTTCGCTCCCCATGTGCATCAATGATCCTTGGCCGACCATGACCCTGTTACCGGTCACTATTTTCCCTTCCTTGGACCACTTTTGGTAGGTCCTGACCACTGCAGACTTGGAACATCCCACAAGAGCTGCATTTATAGAGTTGATCTGACCTAGTTGTCTAGCCATCACAATTTGGCCCTGGTCAAAGTCACTCAAATCCTTATGCTTGCCCATTTTTTCTGCTCCCAACGCATTAACTTCAAGGACAAAATCTTCCATTGCTGCCTCATATATGCCACCCACTTCCAGGTGCCATTGTAATGAGAAAATCAATGTTATTCACTTCACCTCCCAGTGGTCACAATGATGTGGCTGATCAGTGTATATAACACCTATAGGGCTCATATATTACCGTAGGTTATTTCATCTTATATCAATCTATGTAAGGCTTGTCCCACATAACTGGATGTATTGTGAAGACACATATTTGTGTTCTTTCTTACAGTTCTGGACACTATGTGGAAATGCACTGACAGCCAAACGGGGGATATTTGGGAAAACTGGGGACTTACAGACGATCTTGTGCTTAGCATGTGCTAGAGAAGACATCACTTACTCAGGTGCTTTAAACGGAGACATCTATGTGTGGAAGGGTCTCACCTTAGTTCGTACCATTCAAGGCGCTCACAGTGTAAGTATCTATACAAGTATCTAATAGAAGTACTTTGTGAAATGTTTTTTTACTTTGTAATATTTTCACTCATGTTATGGAAATCAGTAAACTAAACGTGAGATTGTAGTCCATCACAGGAGTGAGCTTTACAACACACACAGGTAGCCACCCTCCAGGAGGAAGGACAGTGTCAGCATGAATTCAGAGATGATCTGGGAAACTACAGCCGAGTGGTACACAAATAAGATACATTTTTGTTAAGGTGCTTGAACGTATTTTTAAGATTTAACTCCCGAGTTTAGTATCACTTTAATGGATGTGTAATTGTAGTAAAAATAATTGTTGTCAAAAAATATTGACTATTAACCATTAACTGCTTGAAGACCAGGTGTTTAGATCCCCTACCTGGCCAGGCCATTTTTCAGTGTTCAGCGCTGCGGTACTTTGAAGTAAGCTGCCGCGTCTCAGTATACCGCGCGCTGTAGCTCGCGGTATACTGCGGTGTCTCAGTACTTTTTTGCGACACCCATGGCACAGTTTTTAGAACTGCGATCGTGAGCGATTGCACGGGCTGTATCGCGGCGGGAACCCGCATGTTCCGCCTGTCTCAACTGGGGTGCAATTAGATAATTAATTGAAAAATATAAGGTTATGCACATGGGAGTAAACAACATGTGCGCAAACTACTACTTGGGGGGCTGCTACATTAGGGAAGTCGGACATGAAAAAAGACCTGGGTGTCCTCATAGATCACAGGTTTGGCAATTGTAAGCAATGCCAAGCAGCATCCAGCAAAGCTAACAAGATACTGGCGTGTATTAGAAGAGGAATTGTAGCAAAGAATAAAAGAGTAATACTTCCACTTCATAAATAATTGGTTTGGCCCCATCTTGAGTATGTGGTACAGTTCTAGTCACCGACCCTCAGGAGGGACGTCCTGGAGCTGGAGAATGTTCAGAGAAGGGCTACAACATTAAATAAAGGGATAGATGGCCTGAGTTATGAAGACCGCATTGAAAATCTAAACGTATTCACCTTAGAAAAGAGGAGATTACGAGGAGATCTTATTTCAGTCTTCAAAATCATCAATGGGGACCCCAATATTCGGAACAAACTGTTTAATCCCAAAACTGTATTGAGAACCCGAGGACACAACAGGAGGTTAGAAGAGAGGGGGTTCAATCCTCAAATTCGTAGGGGTTTCTACTGTGAGAGTTCTGAAATTGTGGAACTTTCTTCCATAGGCGGTGTTATCCGCTGATAACATTGATAAATTCAAGAATCTTCTCAATTAGTTTCTTTTCTCACTTCATATACAGAAATATGGGCAGTGTTAGAGCCATATAAATGCAGACACAAAATCATACACACCCATACACACATAGGTTGAACTAGATGGACCCTTGTCTTTATTCAGCCTTACCTACTATGTACTATGCATATCTAAAAATCACTAAAAAATGGTGACCTGAAAAGTGTGCATTAGAAGCTGCAGCATGTCAGATAGAGCCCTCCTCATTTCCTGGCTGGAGGACATCCAGCATCATCTAAACTTTCCTCCCCAGCCTGACTGTCCCTGGCCTGTCCCTTTCATTCATTGGATTTCATTTCTTTCAATCATGGGCTCAGTGTCATATGTGGCCATTACTTAGGGGAACCTGCTTACAAATACCACCCGCCCAGGAACCCCCACTCTTCCAGACTAACAACAAGGCATTTTGATATTTGCATAATTCCTCCCAAGAGCCACACCAATGCTTGCATCAGAGCTGAAATGAAATGGGTACTGAGACAAGATGCTGTGATGTTTTCAGGAAGCGATGTTCAGCACTACACACGCCCCTCCGGCCATGATATACCTGCATTGCATAGAGAAGCACAGAGACTCAGTGATGACTTTACTGGGTATAAAATCGGGTATGTAATGAAAACAGAAAGGTTTTATTTGAAATGTCATTAGCATGTTCATGATGGGGAAAGAGGAAGTCAAAATATAAGCAGATTAAACCTCAGCTCTGAAATATTCACTGATACTCTGTAGTGTGTTTCATGCTAATTAAGTGCTCATAAGAAGGCAGAAGAAAAAATTGGTATCATGTGTTGAGTTCGTATTATTTCCAAGTCATAGCGTGTGTCGCTGCTGACAAGTACTGTATATACTGCGCACTGTGCTTCCTTTTCTTTTCATGGAACTGCATTAATTGCTATTCACGTCATTAGATCGCTTTTCTCTTTTCTTTAAGGCTGGTATATTTAGCATGTACGCCTGTGAAGAAGGTTTTTCGACTGGAGGAAGAGATGGATGTATCCGTCTGTGGGATAATGACTTCAAGCCAATTACAAAAATTGATCTTCGAGACAGTGAGCAGGGTTATAAAGGTAGATTTTTTTCCCCTTTATTATGAAAGAGGTCAATTCACAGCAACATGCAGCTATACTGTTCGCAAATTCATTCCACTAATACAGGATCTCACTGTGGTGTTGGCTTTATTATACAGTAAAAAGGTTACTGTTTTTTGTTTTTTTTATTACTTCTATTGCATTTTCCATGGAAGGGTTTGCAGAGTGATGAAAGAAGGCAGGTCATATTTATTAGGGATGCACCGATACAGAGATTTTTTTTCCGGTACTCGCCGATACTAAATACAGACACCATCCCATTAAGGAAGTCAGGCGGCATGTAATGACTTGCCACCTGGCTTCCTGATTAGCCTGGAAGCATGTAAAGTCTCACCACCCGGCTTCCAGATTAGCAGGGAAGCCGTCTCCATGCTCCCTCGTTGCCAGGTGACGAGGAAGCATGGAGCCGGCTTTCTGGCCAATCAGGAAGCTGGGTACCGTGTAATGACTTGTTGCGCGGCTTCCTGACTGGTCGAGAAGCTGGCCAATCAGGAAGCCGGTCAACAAGTCCTTACACAGCACCCGGCTTCCTGATTGGCTGGGAAGTCGGCTCCATGCTCCCTCGTCACCAGGTGACGAGGGAGCATGAAGTCGGCTTTCTGCTTGGTCAGCTTCCCGACCAATCAGGGGGCGAGTCATCACATGCTGCCCAGCTTCCTGATTGGCCAGGAAGCCGTCTCAATGCTCCCTTGTCAAGTGACGAGGGAGCACAGAGCCGGCTTCCCGGCCAATCAGGAATACTGACAGCGTGTAATGACTCGCTGAACGGCTTCCTGATACCGGAAGCTCGGGTATCAGGCTAGGCATCGGAGCATTTGGGTGAGTACGAGTACTCGCCCAAATACTTGGCATCGGCACCAAACTTGATACTACTGTCTGTATCGGTGCATCCCTAATATTTATGACTTGTGCTCCCATCTAGCACCCTATAAAGAGCCTTCTGATGCCTCTTGGCATCTCCTGCACCCACTTACACCCTCACTTCTCTTGTTGAACCTAGCCACAAATGTCCTAAGGTGAGCTGAAGAGAAAACTAAATGAAGAACAGATATTAGTATGCAGATTTGGGGTATTGGTTGCCATTATGGTAAATACAACTGAACATGCTAGTTGCCTGGCTGTCATACTCACCCTCTTGCTTCAGTACTTTAAATCCCTGATTGGGAACATGCATTTCAACATACATCTTCTGCATTTGGTGACTATGAAATGATTAAAGTCAGTGGATCAGCATAACAGGCAACTAGCATTGACTAGACTAGAGGCTTTGAATGGAAGCCCGCATTTCTCCTCACAGGTTTGTTTCAACCACCCTTTGCCATATTGGTCATTTATTTCACACATTAGGTTTAATTTCACAGACATTTGCTGTGGTTTATATACTGTCACCGAGTACTTTATTAAGAACATGATACTAATACTGGGGAGGGCCCCCATATACTCTCCAAACAGCCTCAATTCTTCACGGCATGGATTCGACATTCCATAGACATTCCTATGAGATTCTGGTCCATGTTGACATGATTGTACTACCATGTTTCTGCAGATTTGTCAGCTACACATTTATGCTGAAAATCTGCCATTCTTCCACATCCCGGAGGTGCCCTATTCAATTCAGTTTTGGTGACTGGCCTACTATCTGCGAGCTGCAGAACATTCAAGATTCATCAGACCTGACTACATTTTTCCAGTCTTTAAGGGGTCCATTTATAATTCACAGAGCCATTTACCTTATGACTCTTTCTGCGTTAATAGATGCAAAAATGAACATTCTTGGATATATATTTTTTTTAGGGGTATGTATTGTAATACTGCATTATGGCCACTAGATGAAGCCAAGGAGCATAGGGTAAAAAAATACTAATTTCCTGTGCTCCTCAGCGCCATCTGGTAGACCAATTTTAGTATTAAATTACTTAGTATTCGACATGCAAAAAAAAAGGTTCGTTTATGCATCTATTCACACAGAACAAATGTTCAGAAAGATTCTTAGGGTGAATAGCTCTGTAAATTGGCTACAAATAGGCCCCTTATGTGTCCAGTTTTTGTGAGCCTGTACCTACAGCTTCCTCAGCTTTCTGTTTTTGGCTAACAACAGTGGAAGTCGATGTGGCCTGCTGCTGTTTTCAGTTACACGCTTTCATGCTTTTCTGCTCACCACAGTTGTAAAGAATTGCTGTAGCCCTAATGTCGGCTCAGGCTGATCTGGCCATTCTCCTCTGACCTCTCTCATCAACAAGGCTTTTACACCCATAGTACTGATGCTCACTATATGTTCTTGCACCATTGTGTGTAAACTCTAGAGAGTCTGTTGTGCGTGAAATTCCCAGGGGATCAGCAGTTACAGAAATACTCAACCAATCGTGCCATGATCAAATCACTGAGGTCACATATCTCCTTATTCTGGTGTTTGATGTGACCATAAAAGGGTTAGTTCACCTTTTAATTGTGTTTTTAAAAAATGCATTTACATTACAGTTTACATTGTAAGTTAAAATACTGTCTTCCGTTTTTCTTACTTTTCTTAGTGCTGCTATCAGTAAGCTTCCTCTCTGTGCATGGGGACCCCAGCTCCTAAAAAATGGACACTAGGCTAACCACGCATGCGCAGCCTGATTTCTTTCCCACTTGCAGTAGGCTGAGCTCAGCTGCAAGAGAATGCAAACTGTGCATGTGTGGTTAGGCAAGTCGAGTTCTCATAGCTGAGTCCTGATTCGTGGGGTGCTGCACATCCTACGGTCGATCCGTCCTTCCGTGTAAGCAGGACAGAGAGGGGAAGTCATAGTAGCAGCAGTAAGAAAAGTAAGAACATTTTTTTAAAGTGGAGGGCAGCATTTTAACTTACAATGTAAGCTCTAATGTATATGGATTTAAAAGAAATTCATTTAGGTCCCTTTTACACTATCCCCTACTGATCGCAGCAGTATGGAACTCCATGTCTCTCCAGTTTTTTCCTCACTCTTACAATGGAGTTAAAAACTGATTATACTGGACCTATGTTGGTCTCTGGGTAGTGGGATGTAAGCAGACATGCGTCCGTTTAACTCAGATTACCCCCAATCCATCACAATCAGATCCGCCAATGTGGAAATCTCCCTGCTGGACCTTGACGGAGCCTGGGTTATTGGATGTAAATGGATATTCACTTTAAGTTCAGCTGCCCATAGAATAACATTGGGCTTCCGATCAGACCTGTCTGAAAAACGGACATCGTCTGAAAAGAACCTAAAGCTGGCCATACACTTTACAACCATCGCAAGCTCATACGATCTGCCCATCTTGGACAGGCAGATCGTACTTGCGATCATCGCAAGCCTGCCCCGCTGAGGGGAGGGCTTCCGATGACTGCAATGCTGAGCGGGCAGTATGCGCTTGCGCACACCGGCCCGTTCGACATTTGTCTCCCGAGAACGCCACTAACACGCCGACAATCGTACGATTCTCGGCAGGTTTTAAAGGGAGACAAAAGACGTGCAACCGTACAGTAGAAACGGTCGCGCGCCTTCCATACACCTGACGATTATCGTACGATCACATGATTTCCCACGATTATCGTACGATAATCGGCAGGTGTATGGGCACCTTAAGGGGGAACAAACCCTTTAACTGAAGCTCCTGACCTGTATCAGATGATTTTATGCATTATGTTACTGCAAATTAATTGGCTGATTAGGTAACTGCATTAGGAAGCAGTACAGGTGTCCCTAATAAATTGCTTGCTGTAAATGCTGTGCAGCAGACATTACTGCAACCTCAGCTATGGCTTTGAAAGGGTTAAAGAAACAAATCTCTCCTACTGTTTGCAATTTGCAAGCCCAGTCTTGCAATTATCTTGCATGTTCCCATCTGTTAAGTGGTAGAGCAGGTGGCTGGTGAAAAATAACCCACCAAATTGTGTATCTGACGGTTTAGCATCTATTTAAACGCCTTCCATCATTAAAACATTAAAGCGTACTTGTGCGGTCAGGCTTGAGGGAAAAAAAAGAAAATCCAGCTTTGTTACACGTTCCATTTTTCAGGTTTTCTTACAGATATCATCATTGACAGAATATCTTTCACTTAGAAAATGCCGCAAAAAACACTCTTTCTATTATTCATAACGTGTGTTCGCTGGCGCACCTGTAAAGCAGCAAGTCAGTGGGGAAAATTCGATATTCTTTTGTTGAAATGAAATTTCCAGAGCAAGTCATATGAACTACCCCTAGCTGTGTGACTATAATAGAAATAAATTGGATTCCAGTATAAAAATCCAGTTTAAAATCAAAGCACAATTGTAAAGATTTTTTCTTTCTGTGTTATATTCTGAACACGCTTAGAAAATGTTCAATATGTTCTGGAGCAGGAGTGTCAATCTCCTTCTCATTGCGGGCCGCGTCAGCATTATAGTTGCCCTGGTTGCCGTTGTGATTTCTATATTTTCAGCACCTGTTAATTGATACAGGTGAGTTTATTTACAAATTACCGGAGCCTCACAAACTTGGAATGCAATTATTTCCAGCAGTTTGGAGAAGGTGCCAATAATTCTGTCCAGTTCATTTTTGGAGTTTTGCATGTAATGTGTCAGATTTGGCTTTTTTTTCTCTACTTTTTTTGTGTCATACCTATACAAACGAAGTGGTGCATTATCTGACAGAAATGCAGGGGTGCCAATATTTTTGCCCATGACTGTACATCCCAAGTTGCACAAGAATCAATGTGCATAGCATAAAATAAGAATAAAATGCAATATAAACATTGAGTGTCTGGGTGGAGTCATTATTACTTTCCTGGTATTTGTGTTCAGAGAAGACAAAGGTCTCCACAAAACAGGCTAGAACTTTCACAATGAGAGCCAGGGCTGGTCATCTGGAATTCAGCATAAGTGCAGATTCACACTACCGATCCCAGTTTCTTCTTCCATACATAATTCTTTCATATGGAATGATCTGGTTAATTAACAGATGCAAGTAGATGGAGAGACCCTCTGCACTCCTCACAGCAGTCCCGGCCAGATATGAAAAAAGTGGTGCTCGCAGTGATGAGATACCACGGATGGCGCCGTGCAAACACAGGAAAGTCAGGAAATCACCAGCACTCAGTAGTAAAGATAAATATGTCCCTTTTATCTTTACTACTGAGTGCTGGTGATTTCCTGACTTTCCTGGTTAATTTACAGGTTTCACTGAAAAGTAAATTAAAGTAATTCACCGGCACACACTTGAAGGGTTTTAAAGTATTGATATGTTTATTCAATACCCAATGTCACATACTGTCATACGGTGCTAACGTTTCAGGTCCGACAGTGTCACTGTCGCTCTGATGAAGGATCCCTGTGCGGACCCGAAACCATAGCACCGTATGACAGTATGTGAAATGCTCCGGGGGCTCTTTCTTCTGCCCAAGTTAAGATTATGAGCTTGTGTACATGGTCATTGCTTTTAATGTAGGCTTTTACATTACAATGCAGTACTGCACAAATGCCTGTGTCCATCCCACCCCACTCCGATCTGGAATTACACATTTAGTGTTAAGGTGCCCATACACCTTACGACCATCGCAAGACTTTTGTCTTGCAATGGTCGTATGCTTATTGAAAGCTCGTACGATCTGTCCACCTTGGACGGGCAGATCGTACTTGCGATCATCGAAAGCCCGCCCCGCTGAGGGGCGGGCTTCCGATGACCGCAATGCAGAACGGGCAGTGTGCGCGTGCGCACACCGGCCCGTTCCGCAGCTATCGGACGAGCAGGCTAGAAACCCGCCGACAATCGTACGATTCTCGGCGGGTTTTCGAGCATGTTGGTTCGACAAAAGACGTGCGACCGTACAGTAGAAACGGTCACACGTCTTCGTTCACACTGCTCGATCGCGGGATTTCGCCCGATTCTCGTACGAGAATCGAGCAGTGTATGGGCACCTTTAGCAGGGTAACTTTCACTTGGGATTTGGTTGTGAGCCCATGCACAGCCTGGACCTACAATCCAAGAGGGCTTCACTGGGACACAGGGATCGAATCAAATACAGGGTACTTTAAGACACTACAGGGTGCCTGCACTTTAGTACTGTTACTTCCTTTGAAACATTTTGGGCAAGGTAAAGTTCAGTTTATATAGGCCCTGGAAGCTGTCCTGCAATCTAGCTCTACCTATTTTTATTCAGGTAAGTCTGGGATGGTCTTCATTCTTTTACTAGACCTATGACCCTTTTCTAGTGTTTTGTGGCAGGTGCAAGATACAGTCCCACTGTGACATAAATGAGGGTAAGTGAATGTTCCTACAGACCTACATCAGTTCACATTTGTGCACCATTGTTATTTTAAAAAGTTCTGGAAAACAATAAAGTAAGTCATGAAACTGCTCCTGTGACTGTAGAAGGTCTTTTTTTTGTATTATTGTTACATCATTAACATAAGTACAAATTACCCTTCAATATGGTGGTTTTGCAGCTGTGTGCACATAACAACTAGGTTACATGTACTTGTCCTTGTCAGTGAAGAATTGCTAGTTAGCAGTATGTCATTTGTTAACTGTGCTTCCTGTCCTATTTATTTCTCTTCCTCAGGCTTGTCCATCAGGAGTGTGTGCTGGAAAGGAGATAGAATTCTAGCTGGGACTCAGGATAGTGAAATCTTTGAAGTGATGGTGAGAGAACGGGACAAGCCCATGCTGATAATGCAAGGTCACTGTGAGGGGGAGCTCTGGGCCCTTGCTGTACACCCCAAGAAACCCTTAGCCGTTACTGGTAGTGATGACCGCTCTGTAAGGTATGTGAGCAACCTTTAAATAATAATTGTGTTAAAGGACACATGCTGATTAAAAGCAACCTTGCAGCTGCATCCTTCAGGTGCCATTTTTTTAACCTCTAGAGTGCCTGCTTGCCTCCTCTATGGATCACTGTAGTTTTGTGAAAGAGGGTATTTATATTTGGCTGTATATGAGTGGCAGTGCTTGGGCCTGGCTGTAGGCTGCTCAAGCACAGAGCACAATATTGTGGGATAGGAAAGTGACTGTGGGTATAGGGGAAATGGGCAGACACGATAAGGTGACTAGTGGCGCTGGAGGGAGCCTGCTGTACGGATGCAGAGCCACTACAGATGATAGCTCTTTATCAGCATGTGACAGGTTAATGTTAAAGGACAAACAGCACGAGAGAACTACTCAGGCTGCCATTGCTTGCCTCCTTCTGAAAATGTCAGTTGCCTGTCTCTGACTTTAATATTTTCTGAGTCACTGACCCAAAACAATTGTGCAACAAGCCAGAGATGGCCAGCAAATAGCATTTTCAGGACATCAGGAAAAATTGTTCACATATTTCTTTTAGGACAGGGAAGATAACATTTAAAAATAATAATTTTTTTAATAAAAACTATATGCTTAAAAAATTAAAAATATTTTTCTTCTTTGGTTTTGGTCGTGTTAAAAAGGAAACATTCCAGGTTCATGTCCAAGATGGTGACTGAGGTGCACGTGTAGTCCCAGACCTTCTCTGCCTCACCACTTATTTTGTCTGCAGTTAGACCTGCAGGTATCTATTACTGTGCCCATCTCTGTTTTTGTTTTCCTTCTGGGACCTGGGGACATGACCCGGGGGAAACATCAGCACTCTGTGCCCCGCACAGGAGAGTTCGAAGATTTGTCTGCGGGTGCACAGTGGCTGCCACGTGGCAATATGGCCACGCAAATGGAGGATGACGCAGTGGAGTTTTCTGGATATAACCAGTTTGCAGCGGTTATGAATGTCATCTCTGGCTGCCACTTGACCCTCACATCCAAGATGCATCATCTCCTATCTGATATCGGACTCTTGTGGAAGGACCTGGACAAATTCAGGGATCGCGTGGCGGCGGTTGGGGGCAGAGTTAGTGGTGTGGAGGACTCTGTCAAGGATCACACAGCATCTTTACTTACCTTACCAACCAAGGTCAAGGCTTTGGAATCCAGGACGCATGCAGCAAATCGCAATTGCCACAATAATCTGTGCATTTTGGGTGCATTTTGTATGGTATTAAGACTTTAAAACATATGTCGGATATAACTTGTATAACTTGCCAAATTCAATGTTTTTCCCCAGCATGTTCTTCAGACCCAATGTCCCAATCCAATATCTATGGATTTGAATGTGATTGAACGTTTTTTGATCACTGACATGTTCCATAAGCCCCTTTCCTCACTTTATTTTGGACTTCCCCCACACTGCCCTGACTGTTCAGGAAGTGGCAGGAAGACATTCATACACTGACAGAGGATGACTGGGACGAGTTTGTGTGACAATATATCCCACCTATGGTATCGCTTAGGGATAGGTTTTTGGAGGTGCCTGGCCTCCATTTACCTGACTTTAGATGCTTATTGCTGTAGATGTAAAACAGAGGTGGGCTCCTTCATGCATGTGTTCTGGTCATGTTCTGTGCTGCAGCCCGACTGGCGATCAGTGGTGCAGACCATTAATTGTGCTACCCAAGCTAAGAAACTTTTTATTTTTTATCTAGCTTTCTATGCTAGATGGGAGATTCGGCCACTCTTTGGCTGTGAACTGTCAACAGAGTCCTGCCAGTATACAAGTTGACCTATATGAGCCGCAACTGTCCTAGGAGATTTGGATAGTGTGTGGGCTGACTTAGGGGAGGTACAGGCACTCACATTGAAGGAGGTGGGGGGGATGGGAGACATATCTCCTCTTGGCTCAAATACTAGTGCTCTATAGAAACTCTTAATATTTAAAACCTTCTGGTTGGTTTGGTCTTATGTTTGATGCTGACCTATAGGTGGTCATTTCTGTTTCCCTGACAACAGCTTCCATGTTTTTCTTGATCTCGGCCTTGCCCTTCCCCCTGCTTTTTTCCCCCCTTCCCTTGCTCCCCCTTTCCCCCATACCTTCTTCCCCTTACTGCCTTTCCCTTGTGCTCGGACCGAGTCTTCCTTCTGTTTGTTTCTTTTTCCTGTTAAAAAAAAAAGAAATATTGCAAAGTAGTGTGGACCCTGCACTTCATGCAAAGTTCGCCTTTTAAATATGACCCCCTTCCGGGTGAAACACTAAATGAAACATAGAAAACAATCCTGTATGGGAAAACATTGGATAATATACTCTCCATTCCCCTGGCCTCCCCTGACAATAGTACAGGGGGTGACATGATCATCCTGCTGATGAGATCTCCGAGAATACTGAGTACTCCGAATCTCACAAGAAGACGCTACATCAAAGTGCAGGATCATCTTCTCACAACATATGGGCTACTCAACATTCCCCGGGATCTCTCCGGCATAAGGATGACATCACTTTTGTCTAAGCGTTTCAGCAAGGAGGAGGGGGGCCACATTAAAAAAAGTTTATATCCAGCCAGCAGGCACATCCTGTTGTTTACAGAATTGAAATAAGCACCATAGCAGTGACTTATGAGGTTTCTATGAGACAAAAGGAGCTGCAAAGCATGCTGTGCTCCTTGGAACCCTTGCTATGTATTGCAAAGCATGCTGTGCAGTCTGGGAACCCTTGCTATGTATTGCATTTTTATTTGTAAAACAAAGATTGCATGCAGTTAATGAAAAAACATAAAATAACATTTTAAAAACATAGACATTTTGCCCCAAAATATATTGGCAGCCAAAATTTCTGTGCACCCCTAATAAAATCGTAAAAATGATTGCATATTTTTATTACTTTAAATATGAAATATTACATATAAGTATTTTCTGTTTACCACTTGCAGCCAGCAGGTGGCAGCAGCTTTTCTGAGCTCAGTCTACAACTGTATTGTGAAATAGACCTGAAAGCGAGGATTTCAGATGAAACAGGTTGCACCGTGACTTAGTGAAGGGAAATGACCCCTCCCTATCTCCTAGTAAATATGGACCCTGACAGTTATACAGGGTGCTTCCATGCATAAAGACACTGCTGGGCTTTCTTATTGGAAAGCTCAGCTTGCTTTGCAAACTGCATGTCATGGATTCACCAGTATTACATGGTTATTTGCAAATGTTTATTATATAAAAGTAATCAAACTATATGAAACATCAATTTATGAGCTTTCCAAAAGACAAAAATTAAACTGACCAAAAACTGTTATATTTTCCCTTTTAATTTTACTTAAAGTGACATTAAAGGCAACTTTTTTTCCCTCACCCCAACGTTAATGAAAGCACTTACCTTAAATTATGTCTCTTAATCCGATCTTCTTCTTCTTTCCTGATGTTTTTTAGCCTTCTCTCCAGCGCTGCAGCTGGTGTCCGATCCAGCTCTGACTCCTCTGTGCTTGCTGGCACTCTGCATGTGGGTGCACACGTCTATAGACTTACCTTGCGTCCCTCCTCGCGTCCCGGCCGAAAATGTGAACTGCGCATGCGCGCGTGCCCCAAGATCCTTTGCGGCCCCCGAGAATTTTCACATTTTCGGACGGGAGCGCACGGGGAAGACACAGGTAAGTTTAAACCACTGTTTAACTTTTTGCATATATCTACTGCTTGCTAGCAGTAGATATATGCAAAAAAAGCTGATGGTTTAGAAACCCTTTAAATTGTTATTTTTTGCAAATATTATAATGAAGAATCTTAATGCATAGAATAGATTTTATTATAGGATTACAGATGATAGCATGGTTCAGATAATAGGAGTCTTGTGTCTATTGCCACTCAGAAAAGCTTTGTGTGGTCAAATGTTTTTTGTCAGACAATATAATCACATAAACCTTGCTCTTGCCTTAGACTGTGGAGCCTTGCAGACCATGCACTGATCGCCCGCTGTAACATGGAGGAAGCCGTACGAAGTGTAGCCTTCAGTCCAGATGGATCTCAGCTAGCACTGGGGATGAAAGATGGCTCATTCACTGTTCTCAGGGTCAGGTAGGACAAACTAATTACTTTGTTTTATTAAAGAAATTCAAAAAACTTTTTTTTGTTTTTGATTAATAGAATGATGCTGATTTTCCCTAATGAATCAGTTGTTACTTTGCAAATGGTTTCACACAGTCAGATGTTTGATGTAGAACCACTTCAGTCTAAATTATAGTGTTTCATGTATACTTCTTTTCCTTATTTATGTTTTGGACTAAACCAGTATTTTGTATTTATTTTTGTATTGTGAATGTGAACTATTGCATATATATGTTTCATATTTAACACTTGTAGGCAGCTGTTAAGCTCTAGGATGGAGCTACAGCTTTTCTGGTGACTGTTTTTCCATTTTTCCTCTTCTCTTTCTCCAAGCAGACAAGTTGATTTAGATTGCAGAGGGAAACAAGAACTATGCAGACAGTGGTGTGCTTTCTTTTTAAAGACCAGCGTGCTTTGTAACCTACAATGGCAAGATTGTGTAATAAATGTTTGTAAAATAAAGATTTTTGCGCAAATAATAAATACAGTGAGGGGAATTTATCAAAACTGGAGCAGACAAAATCTGGAGATTTGCACTGCAATCAGCCACCTTCTCTGTCTCATTTTCAAATCTTACCTGAGCAAACTGAAGAGAGATGCTGACTGGTTGCCATGGGCAACTGTTCCAGATTCTGATTGCCCTGATGAAGGGACCCTGCGTGGCCCCAAAACGTTGGCTTTATGACGCATGTGACAAATCAATAAAATGCTTATGCTTTTTGCACAATTGCTTTTGACTTCTATCTTTGTTTGCTCCAGATTCTGTCTGCTCCAGTTTTGATAAATTCCCCCCAGTGTATATACAGTGTGTGTGTGTGTATATATAAACATTGACCAAAACCAATAATACTTTACCTTCCCTGGTAATTGTAATGTGTTTTGTTTCAGAGACATGACAGAAGTGGTTCACATTAAGGACAGGAAAGAAGTCATTCATGAGATGAAGTTTTCCCCTGATGGTTCCTATCTTGCTGTGGGTTCCAATGATGGGCTTGTAGATGTGTATGCTGTCGCGCAAAGATACAAGAAAATCGGAGAGTGTAACAAGTCTTCCAGTTTCATAACTCACCTTGACTGGTCTGTGGACAGCAAATATCTACAAACCAATGATGGAGCAGGAGAGAGATTGTTCTACAAAATGCCATGTTAGTACTAAAGCTGTATTTTTAAACTCCTGTAATTGATTGCAAAATGTATTTTTTGGGGGGGAATCCATTTTGGACCTTATTAGTTGCCTTTAAATTCTGAAACGTGACTCAACACAAAATTCATATCAAGGTTCTCTGTATGTGGTTTAATGTGACAGGGCAGTCAATGATTTTTTTTAAATTGAAGTGCCAAATTCACACAACTCAAAATTGCTGACCTATCCATGTGCAGAAGACATGTATCCATCATATCACATCTGCTCAGACGTGGAGTTTAATTTGTGAGTGAAGGTAGCAGGAAGGTAAGTCGTATTTTAATATTTTGATATATTGCAAGGGTGGTGCTGTCTTCCATGCCATCCCATATTGACTAAGCCACACCATAAAAAATGCAATCTGTTTTGCATAGGGCTGCTGTGTAGTGGTTAGGATGTAGACAAATTTGATGTCACTTATGGTGATATCCTAGAACAAGCCTGTCACACCTATCTCCCACAATCTGTCCTTGCAATTACAGCCATCAAACAGTATGGGGGTGCACATAATGTAGAGTCAGCCTTAAACCTAGAAACCTTCAAAAGTCACTAAATAATTTTGTTATATACAGTATCTGGTGGAGGCCAAATTGATGAGAGGTCTTCTTTTATACAGTGTCTCTTGTTCAATAGCCCTGGAGTTGGGGACAGGGTGTGGGAGGGCAGGTGCAGAAACAGCTTAGGGTCTAGAGATGATCTGGACACTGCTGCAAAGCTAGCTTAGAGCCGGCCTGATCTGTGAACAATGGTGATTTGCAGATCGGACAAAAGAACATTCAGGAGCAGGGATCGGAATAGAAGTCAAGATGAGCAGAGGTCAGCAAATGCCAAGCAGCAGCCAATTCAGAGAACAGGGGCAAAGTCCAGGTCGAGGTACCAAGACAGCAGGCAATAGACGTCAGAAGTCAGAAATACAAGTCAAAGTAAGCAACATAAGGTACAGGTTCAAGAGTATCCAGGAGACATGCATGTGAAGCCATAACCCTGAGCAGTGAACCACATGCTGCAAAATGCACAGGTACAGATCTCTTGGCATGGCCATAAGTCTGACTTCCCTGTCACCTCCATCACTGGAAGAGTTAAATTCATTGACTTCCTTCCCTACCTTTCTCCTTCACAGCATTTGTTGACTCAATAAAGCCCAAGTTTAGACAAAATGTTAGTATTTTCTTCATTTTAGGTAAGATGGGAAAGGGTTAGATCCACTGTTTCTATTGCCTTCTGTGGCTCAATTGTACAGGGAAATTCTTATGTTGCCTGGCACAGTGACCGCGCAGGAAGTGTGATAACAAACCGCAAAAAAATAAAACAGAAGTTCTAACCATTCTCCACCCTACTAAAACAAAAATCTTTAATTGTAGTCTGTGACTTTGTTCTTCTCAGTGACCACAAAGACGGCAAAAAAGTGAAGCTTGGCTTTAATGACAGTTGCATTTTAAATCTTGGATGGGATTAAAGAATTAATTATACACATTATTAAAGCATTTATTTCTGTATTGCAGCTGGTAAGCATCTTACAAACAAAGATGAGATCAAAGGGATTCATTGGTTCTCCTGGACTTGTGTAGTTGGACCAGAGGTCAGTGGAATATGGCCAAAATATACAGACCTTACTGATATCAACTCAGTGGATGCCAATTTCAACAGTTCAGCATTGGTGACAGCTGATGACTTTGGACTGGTTAAATTATTTAGGTTTCCAAGTTTAAAAAAAGGTTTGTATCCTTTCCTATACCTAATGAATCGAAAGAAACACTGTTCGTGTACTTTGTGATATTTGCTAAATTCTAAACTGGATAATGAAGACGCTGGTGTTGTGTTAAAGTCATTGTGACTTTTAACTTATTTTTTGACAGTCTTCGAAATCACAGAATTTACAGATTGAAATGGAAAAGTCATTTTTAATAACATGAAATTACAAAATAGCTTATGTAGTAATGATACTGTATATGTATTTTATTTTTATGAACGTGGAGTTTTTCTTTAAGGATATTTTTCTGAAACTAATATCTCAACATGTTGTGGAACATCCAGGAACAAGCTGCCCAAATTTACACTAAGGAATTTTACCTTGTGATAAAAGTTAATAAAAACATCGTTTTAGGTATTATGACTTGATGTCTGCTAAGTCTCTGCATCCATATTTTATTATATAAATAGTAGAGGTGCAACGAAATAAAATTTTTAAACCGAAAATGAAAAAATTGTTCAACCGAAACGGAAAATTATTTTTTTTCTAACCTTTTAAAAAAAATTCTATATTTTTTTCTAAACTTTTTATATTTTATTTGTATTTCTTTATTTTTTAATAAATATTTTTATTGGGAAATATTGGGAGTCTAAACAGATCCCTTATATTTTTCTTTTAAAAATAAAAACGAGATTGAGGACACAAAGTCCTCAATCCCTTTTTCTGCAGCCTCTTTTATAAATGAACTGGAATTCCGTTCATTTATAACTTGTGGCGTTAGTATGTTTACTATATCCACAATCATGAATGAACAGGAAGTAATGTAGAGCACTTCCTGTTCATTCATAATTGGGGACCCATTAAACACTGCTTGTACCCACTCTCCATCCTGACTCGCTGTCACAGGAGGCTGAGCGGGCAGTGCGGTCTATTTTGACAGCTGACTCCTCCCCCACACCGCCGCCTCGGCCTCCTGTGACACCTGACAGCTGTCTCCACCCCCACACTGCTCTCCATGCTGATCTCTCACAGGAGGAGAGTTCGGCGTCCTGTGACATTGCAGTTCACAGCGCTCTTCTCCATGCCCTGCTCGGCCGCCTGAACTTTTCTCTCCTCCCCATTGGACGCTGTGCTGTGTCAGAAGGGACACAGAGCAGCGCCCAGAGGGGAGGAGAAAAACTAGGAATGCGCTCCAATTTTGGAAGAAAGATGGCACTTTCGACATTTTGCCAAAAGTGCAATTTTCGGCCAGTGTCCATGTCTTGTAACACTTATCTATTTATTTTTTTGTAGAAACTACTGTAAAATTTCAAGTGACTTATCTGAGAGGAATAAAGTAATTATTTTAGATCAAGAGACAACCTGAGCGCTTATGTGCATTAAACAAATTCTACCAGAGTGGGCTCCATCGTCCTCCAGTAAATGGCTAATGCATAATAGATGGTGTTCATGCAGAGCATACTATTTTATTTATTATGTAGTGCAGTTGGTGTATACCTACACTGTGGTCTCACACTCCATAGTCGTAAGTAATGCTTCCCAACAAATCTTCAGACATGATAATCCAGCTCACATGGGTAAAGATTTCTGGATCCTATCTTAGAACACATGTTTTAAATATTTATATTATGAGCGAAAAAGAAAAACGTGCCTTTCTAGGATACCGTGAATTGATTTTTTTTGAAAGGCTGAGCTATGAATAAAATAAGAGCAGTGGTCTTCTGGGTCTGTAAGTAATAGACTAATGCTGTGTCCTAAAATTCATGATAAAGTGAACCTGTCAGCCTTTGTAAACTTTTTAAACTTGCAGGCATCACGTGGAGCCAGAAACCAACCAGAAACCAATAACCAGAAATACCATCTGATTCCAGACATGTCGCTAAGGGCATCAGTTTCTTCAGCTTGGGAACTACTTACTCCCATCTGGAGCTAAATCCCCTTCCAGAGGCTTATTGTCCAGTGATGGTGCCTCAGTGATGCTTTTTTAGGATAGGGAGATGATGTATAGCAGAGATTAGGCTGTGGCTGACCTTCTAAGTTATAGAAATTCAGGCTTTAGTGACAAAGTGTGCCTTGGGTCATATGTATGTGATCAGAGGTTGCCGCCCCTAATGCTCAGTGAAAAGTCTAGTGAATTTAGTGTTTGCAACATTTCCTAAACAGCAAATTCAGTGATTGTTTTTACTTGTTCATTGAAGCTGCTGTTTAAGCTGCTCACATATGCTTATGTTTTGTCCGCATGGACTTTCAAATGAGACAGTTACAATTGCACCCAAGATTACACTATATCGCTTGTCATCCTTAGCTGGAAGCTGCCACTTTCTGAGGTTGATGTACTAAAGGCAAATAGGTTGTTCACTTTGCTAGGGAATTTAGTAAATGAGGTAAAGCTCTGCTGACTTCCATCATCCAATCTTGTGCAAACAAAAATGCAGTTTTTTTTTTATTTTCCTTGCTCGCGATTGTGTATTCTTTGCAAAGTGAATTTTCACCATGTTCACTAAGATAAGAGAAATGTCCTTGCAAAGTGAAAAGCCCCTTGACTCTATAACCCAACTTCATTTAAAAAAAATAACTTCCCTTTCATTATTCTTTACCCATTCTTTTAGGAGCTAAATTTCGCAAATATGTAGGCCATTCTGCCCACGTCACCAATGTTCGCTGGTCACATGACTTCCAGTGGATTCTCAGCACAGGTGGAGCTGACCACTCTGTTTTCCAATGGAGATTTATTCCTGAAGGGATAACCAATGGCATTATTGAAACCGCACCACAAGGTAAGATTGATATGTGCTTTTTTTTCAGAGAGTCAGTGGAGGACTGTGTACATTGAAATGATTGAAGCCCCCTTGCTAAGAAAAGGTCATATACCAAAAATATTTGTAACACCAGTTAAGCTGTTTCATAAAAAATGGTGTAAAGAAAACTAGAGGTGTTGCCCACAAAGGTAGTTAAATGCTAGCTGTTCTTTTCTAACCTAGAACGTTGTGACAGCTAATTTCTGGTTGGTTGCTGTGAGCAGCACCTCCACTTTTATCTCTTTCCAAAAAATTGTATTTGTGTTTTTGTATGTGGGATTTTGCTGTAATAGTAGTACATTGTGTGGGTGGAAGACATGCATAAAAAGATGAAAAAGTGACAAATTCTTTCTTTAAAAGCTTTTATCTGAGGTGGCGAGACCGGAAGTGCCAATCACCAAATGCCAGATAACAAAAGCAATATTCTTCTAATGCAGTGTCTAAATTCAGTCTAAATTGGCCCTGTATGTACTGTATGTGAGATACGGGCCTTAGATTGTAAGCTCCTTGAGTGCAGGAATTGATGTGAATGTGCACTGTAAAGCACTGCTTAAATTGTCTACGCTATATAAATACCTGTAATAAATAATTAATAAATAAGTGCAGTGTTGGTGCTATCCAAATAGTGGTAATAATATTAAAGTAGTATTAAAGTCTGGGCGTTTTTTACTTTAATGCATTCTGTGCATTAGGATAAGAACTGGCTAGTACCTTTGTCTCTCCCCCGTTCCCCCCACACTCACTTGTCACCACCGCTCATCACCGCTGCTGGTCACGAAGCAATCCTCTGTACCTAATTCTTCCTGGTTGCGGGGGAAGCCATAGGCTTCTTCTGCAATCAATCAAACTGATGGGCGGAGAGGAGGGGCATGGCCTGCCACAGGGTTGTGAGTGTCTATGGACGCACACAGTTACTGCGGGCACGAGCACGCACGGATGCTTACACAGGAGCTACTTATAAAGCCACACATTGCTTTTATAAAGCTAAAAACAAACTTTATTGTCCCAATGCATTTACAGACCCTTCAACCAGCTTATCTCTTTGACACGTCACCCCGTGTGCTGTGTCTTAATCATAGGAGGCAAAATGTTTCAGCGAGAGGAGCCGGGTGGAGTGTCTGTAGTTGTGTGGGAATAATAAAGTTTGCTTTTAGTTTACGGAAGCGTTGTGCGGCTCCATGTTATCTGCATTAGAGTGTTTGAGAGGAGCAGACCTTGAGAAAGTGAGTACCTTCAAGCTGAGAAGGTAACAGTGGCAATCCATTGAGCGGTACCACAGTAAATAGTGAGTACTCATTTGTTACCATTGATTTCTCAGGTGAAAGTTCACACTGCCACATATATTTTTGTGTGTTTTTGAAGACAGGGGTGCAAGGAATCTCTACAGATACTGATCACTGCTCAATATCGGGCACTGTGGGTTGTTTCATATGAACATTATCAGGGTTATTCACAAAAGGGTGAAGAGTTTGGAGGATGCAGGAGAATTGAACAATCTAGGACAACATTGCTGAACTGGAAAGTGAGCTGAATTGGAGACTTTTTCCAAATCAGCAATTTTGTCCTAGATTGTTCACTTCTCCTGCCTTCTCCAAACTCTTCACCCTTTTGTGAATAACCCTGTATGTAGTCTTTTTAAGCAGTCAGCAGGTGGAGTTCTATGCTCAGTCAAATTCTGGTCTTTCTTTACCACATTTTGAAAAAAACCTGTTTACTGAAATCAGTAGCTTATGTTGAATTTTTTGCACAGAACTGAATGACCAGTGAACATTATCAGTCCAAAGTCTTAATCAATGTCAGCCAGGAAGCTACTACTGTGCTTTCTGTTTAAAGGGCTCTTGAAAATATTTCCCCTTTTTTATAAATGTTTATTTATAAATCAAAAATTGTGCATATATATGAGAGAAAGAAAGGAAGAAAGAGCAAAAACAAGATATACAACATAAGTTTAAAAATGTATAAACTATAAAAAATAATAAAATTGACCCTCAATCATTATAGTTTTCCTTTTATCTCCATTAACTAACAACGCCACCCAGAATACTTGTATTACATTGTTTTTACAACTTTTTTTAACCTCTTGCCGTCCGCCCGTAGTAGAAAAACGGACGGACGGCACTGCTGCATCGCCAGACGAATTAAATCACAAAGTGTTGGGTTACAATTAAGCAATAATTTTAATATTTTTTTCTGAGTTGACAAGATCTAAAGAGAAAGAGCCGGTAAATGAAACAGAGTTAATGAAAGTCATGACATATGGACGGGCACTCATAAATGATATATTTAGAATATGACTAGAAGGGCCTAGCCGTTGTCTTTTGAGGGTCAGCTGCTGTTCTTTAGTGAGCTGCATCCAATTAAATAAACAAGCAATAATGTTTATACATGATTTCTCTTTTAAGTGTTACAATTAAATTTTCTTGTTTTTGGCTTAGAAAAATATTCATAAAAAGTATAGTATTAAAGGCAAATTCCACCTTGCAGAAAGAAAATAATAAATGCACACTTCATAAAAGAAAAAAATTACTTTTATTATTTTTTTGCTTTGCATTGCAACTGTGATCAATGGGTGACGGGTGTAATGCTCTGGCTCCTACAGAGTCTTCCCCCTTTCCATCACCGTATCTCCATATGAACATTCAGTAACATGGATGTAACATCACTTGTATTCCATTGAGAACTATAAGTAGGGATGCATTGATACCGGTATTTCGTTATCGAGTACGAGTACTGATATTTCTTCGGTACTCACCGATACCTAATGCTGAGTACCGGAAGTCCCATTCAGGAAGCCGGGCAGCGTGTAAAGACTCACCACCCGACTTCCCGTCACTAGGTGATGAGGAAGCATGGAGCCGGCTTTCTGGCCAATCAGAAAGCCGGGCGTTGCGTCATTACATGGCGCCTGGCTTCCTGATTAGCGGCTTCCTGATACCGGAAGTATCGGGCTAGCCATCGGAGCATTTGGGCCAGTACGAATACTCGTCCAAAAACTCGGCACCGATACCGATACTAGAAACGGTATCGGTGTATCCCTAACTATAAGTCCTTCTGCTGCAGTGGCTGATGAGATGTAGTTTCTTCATTCACAGGTCCTGTCAAAGCTTCTGTGAATGAATGATGCAGCTGTGTGGGAAAAATCCACACCAGTCATGCTGGGAGAAGAATCCCATGATTCAGGAAAGTGGGGGGATGAGATGAGGATGGGGGTTTTATGATCTGACCATGTTTCATCTTACACCATGAATATGTGGGGTAATCAAATTTGAAAATGTTATCTATCTTCTGTTTCTACTGTATCAGCATAACTGAAAAGATTTTACATTTGAAAGGTAGTTATGCATTCTACAGCCGTGGACTCCTAGTAGCGGAATGTTTGCATACATATCACTTTCATCCTCGTATATGAAAGTGGTCTTGTGACCTGAACTTTACTTCCATGATACACAGAATTAAAGTTTATTTGACATGACGCTTTGGGATCAGTTTATCGGTGTCTTCATGCAAGATTCACACAATTTTCACCCAGGATTCACACATTAGAAAACAGCATGAATTCTGGGTGAACGTTAAATGAATCTTGTGTGATAACATTATTAAATAGACCCCTTTATATCCCAGGGTCTTCAACATTTACTCTGGTTTTCCATAGTGAACAAAATCAATATACGTCATAAAATGTGCCCTAACATTGGAGAAATTAATTAATTTATGCTAAGAAGCCACACCTCTTACCACAAAGCCCATCCCATTTATTTCCCCAGTCCTGTCCAGGCAGGCGCAGAAAACTGTCACACCTTGGGGTATATGGTATAAGGCGAAGGGGCAAGCTTTGCTGCTGACAGCTAAGAAGAGTACCAGTTCCTGCATGTGCCTATTTGTAGTCTGTGTCTAGATCAGGGGCTGCTTATGTCATTATTTAACTGTGCCCATTCTGCCTAAGATGAAGCAAATTCACAGCTAGTGCTTCTATTTTTATAACTTGAACAACGTACATTTGAGGGATTGCATTACTTCCCTTCAGTAGGCTTATAGCCTCCAGTATCTGCATATTGTCTAGCTCAGCAACCTGGAAACATAGTCAGCTGGCATATATCCAGGATGTTATTAGTACAATAGTTTTACTTCAGTGCTGCATTACATTCTTGTTTTCTAGGTTTCCGAGCGCTCTTTAGAATTCTTATAAGGTGTGACCATAAAGCAGGTACCACACTAATGGTTTAAAGTGGCACGCCATCCAATAAGAACCTTGGTCATATTCTAAATACTAGGTTTCTGCTGGGGAGATTGTACTTCACTTCCAGTCTGAGCAGCAACTGTGACAGGAAGTAAGGGAGATAGGGAACGTCCACAAAGGGAATGCAGATAGCAAAACTAATTCCTTCCATACTGAATGTGGCCATGCATAGGCAGAGCAGTGCTTGATAATGAGATGGGGCATCTATCCTCTATCTCCAATCCACTGCACCACCAAACCTGTCCTGTTTAACTTTTTCTCTAAATGTTGTTTGTTTTGTTCTTGATCAAATCCTTAAAGGTTAGCATTCTATCAAGGTTTTATTGCTTTGTCCTTTGTGTAGAGATTTCTCCTTATTCTGGTAACAGGTGACACTGGGACAGGAAGTGAGGAGTAATCTCTCCAAATGGGATCAGCATGAGAAACCTGACACATCTTTTACTATTCCACGCTTTATGTAATAATGTTTTTTATGCTGTTGTGTCCCAATTGGACAGATTCTTTACTCATTTTCCATCATCGGGGCAGGAAATAAGGAGAAATATTTAAAAAGAGGACACTATGACAATTAATACCTAAAACCCAAATCTCTAAAACTAAGAAAAAAAATGTTTGGCATGAACTTTAAATTTGGAGAAGCACTTTCCAAAGATGGTTCTTGGAGATATTGGATTAATAATGCAGCGGTTGACGGAATCTTTCAATGTGTTGTAAAATGTCCCCAAGCTATAGTGAACACTGGCATTGCTTACATGAGCCTTCAGAATACTCTAGTAATGCAATCAGAACTATAAAAACGTTTTAGGATATTGTCTGAGGTGTATAGAAGGTAACACACAGCTGACTTTGTTCATTTGTCCTTCTCAGAGGGGATTATCGATTCCTGCAGTGAAGAATCTGATTCAGATCTATCCGATGTGCCCGAACTAGACTCAGACATTGAACAGGAAACTCAAATCAATTATGATCGCCAGGTAAGTAGTAAATTCCAACTGGTGAACATCTGATATTTTTTTCCATAGAACAAGATGTTACTCTTCTCCTACATATGTATTAAATGTATTTAAAGTATTTATAGACCAAACATTAGGGTTTAAACCCTTGTCATTTTATTTTTTGCTGCCTGTGTCCCATTAGGGAGATTTACCATAACATCCTGTACTGGAGATGCAACAAGAAATCTTTGTAAAGTGAGGGAAGGAGTTTTGTGAATTTTCAAGTTAGACATTTGTAATCTCAGTTTTGGATAAGCGGTAGGTTGCACCACTTGCCAGCTTTTCTTATGGTAACTAAAGTGGTGAATTTTCCCCTCACTAGTTTGTGTCTCTGACCCTTTTACAAGGCCATAACATGGCTGTTATTCTCTTCCTAGTTGTGCATGGATTGTTCATCAGGGCTGTATAAAACCATCATTAGGCTTTGTAATGGCACAGCAGCTGGAAAGCGCTGGTAATTTAGGTGAAGACTGTGGGGTTCACTTACAAAAGGCAAATAGGCTGTTCACTTTGTAAGGGGATTTACATTTTGCAGGGGAAGTTTCCTTTAGCTTGGTGAATGTGGTGAAATTTCTCTTTGCAAAGAATACCAATCACGTGCAAGGAGAAAAAAAAATTACTTGCACGTGATTGGATGATAGAAGCCAGCAGAGTTTCACCTCATTCACTAAACTAAGGGAAAACGTCCCCTGCAAAGTGTGAATTCCCTTGGAAAGGTGAACATACTATTTGCCTTTAGTAAATCAACCCATGTGTGTCTACCATCTGCATTTACAGTAAACACAATACAGATGGAACATGGGACAGAAGACATAACATCCCATAGAGCACATTTGTGTGCAGATGTGTGATGAGATGGGCTGCCTGCTTATCCATACTCCTCTTGTTTTATTGTCCATGTTTACCATGAAGGTCGATGCAAGCAGTAGAGATATGCAAACTTACTGCCTGGATCAGCAAGTTTCCTGAAGAATCAGCTAATCCCCTGAGCACTGGCCCTGATATCATGTTTTAGGATGGCTCCTTTCCCTTGCAGGGTCCTATGGAGCCACCCCAGCACTCCAACTGCAGTTCAAATGCATCTATTCACTGATGTAGATGCAGCATATCACACAAGTGCAATGTTTTGGGGTCTCGAAGGATCTACTTCCTCAGGCACAACATCTACAAACACGCAGACACAGCAAGGCAATCCACTTCCCTGCTCTCGTCTCCTCCCTTGTCTTAGCTAGTAGCTAGAGTCTGCTCTGTCCCTTGTGGTCCTGTACTGGACAGGAAGTTTAGGTAAGCCAAGCTGAGAAAGTTGAAGTCAGCTGTTCTAAAACATGACTCTTAAGTGTTTGGGGAAAAATGTGAAGAAATACTTTGCTGGGCTATGTATATTTGTTTGATCTGGATTGATTATTGAAAAAAAAAAATACTTCTTGAACTAATTTTTAGGTGAAAGTTATTGGGTTTTCACAGCTCTGTAAGTTTTTTGCGTTATGATAAACAAGCTTGTAGCCGTTAAAGGGTTGAGTCTCCTGTAGTTCATTAAATGGCTTTATTGCTTCAAATAACTACTATTAGCACATAAACATTAATGTTCTTAATAAGTATTTATAGATGTTTTATAAATATTTAATGCAAACACAGTCATCTGAAGGACAAAAGGCTTAATACGCCCAGAATAACAATGCGTGTCAATTATATAATTTATTTTCTTTCCTTTGCCGGCATAGCCTTCTTTGTATATTCTAAGCCTGTTTCTGTATTTCTGGCGTTATCTGATGGAAACATTCAGCATTTTAATTAAAGTAAAAGCTTAGTTATTCATTTTCTCTTCGGAGAGCAGCCATTCATAACTGCAGTGGCAGCTCATTTATTGTATGCTTCTCTCAATTGACAGAAAGATTGTATAGAGCGTACTAATGGCTTCCATCAAGTGCACCCAGGCACCAATTTATCTTAACTCGAACTGACGCCTTTCACTCGCTGCTCACCGGAGTCTACTAAAAAACAGGCTTCCTGCTTTACAGCTATGTCCCCCAGCAATTGTTACAATGTGGTGTAGGTGAGAATTCAGGAGTACAGTGCAAATAAGTGGTAGGCAACAGTTAACAGTCCACTGCTGATAAAAATTGTAGTGATGTGAGGATCAGGTGATGCTTTAGGATCAGGTGATGCTCCTAAAGTCGGCATATTAGATCATGAGTCCTGAACCAACTTTGCATTGAGGCCCAACGTAAGCTTAGTCCACATACTCTTTCAATGAAGTCTCTGCTGACGTTGTTATCCCAGTACAAGCAATTGTAGCAGCTCCAGGAAGTGGCGTTCAATGTGACCTACTTTTTGTAGGCCAGAGTTAAGTGTTTGATAACTTCACTGCCCCAAGCCTACCTTCCCAATTATTTAGGTTCACTTTAATCTAGGGATGTTCAGATACCCAGTACCGTACTCGGTACAAGTACAAATACAGATACTTTTCGAACTCCAAGACTAGACTAGAGAAAAACTCAAAAGTTAGGAGGCAGCTGTCATTTGTAAGGAGCATACGGAGCTTCTGGGATTTGTATATCTCTGTTATAATGTATGATTTTGTTTTTATAAATATATATAAGAGATGCACCGATACCATTTTTGCAAGTACGAGTACTGATACATTTTTGTTTATTGTCATGTGACAGTTTTTCTAAAACAATACAGACTAATGATTTCAGGACAGTGGTGGAGCACCAGAGCCAGGTCCCAGCTGCAACCGCTGCAAACCGCAAATTAGTTCTCATGAAAATGCCAAGTATCGGCACTGGTATCTGAACTGGTATCGGTGCATCCCTACTTTAATCCATTAAAGTGGTCCTAAATAATTTAGATCAGCTGAACACACAGTTAAAATATAAATATCTGTGTGTTTGGAATTCTGTATTGCTATTCTCATGACTAACACACTCCTACTGCACTAAATAACCAGAGGCTGACACCACTATTTACAACCTTCTAATGTGCAGCCTCCTGTGTAATTTTTTGGTAAGGTGCTTCCAATGCTTAAAGTGTATTTCACTTTTGAGAAATCCCACTATAGATTTTTTTGTGTTCCCATTCACACAGCATACCTAAAAATGATTTTAAGAATTATTATTATACAGGATTTATATAGCGCCAACAGTTTGTGCAGCACTTTACAATATACAATTTAACTGTAACTTTACAGTTACAATACAATTTAAAATAAGATGGTAAAATATTGGTGAAGGCCTTTGTGCAGATTCCATGCTACTCTGAGCAGTTTGAGACTGAGGGACACTCAGTTTCTGCTCACTAATATACTGTAGGCGAAATGTATCATTTTGGTCGCTTGATCAGCGGATTTGTAAACTGTTGCATATAGTGACAAATTAATTATCCTAGTTTATGTTTCATTCCTAAATACCTTCTTAAGAAGAATTGTCTCTAAGTTGTTGCAAGTTTGCAGGGAACCTCCTGGAAGATAGCTGAATAGCCCTGAAGTGCTCAGCTGACTTGAAGAAATGAAGCTGAATTATCTTTGCGATACTTTAGGAACTTTTAGAATATGCATCGGTTTGGAGAGTTTTTATTTTGCAAATGCTGGACGCAGTTAATGCACAATTGAGAAATGATGTGAAATGTTGCAAAACATGTGCAGTGAGTCCCAAACATTAGTATGTCACAAGAACGCTTAAAAAAAGATCTTTGCGCCTAAAGATTTTGTGGCAAACATGTTCATAAATACCCCCCAATGATTCTTTAACCCTTCCTTGGGACAGGCTGTTCATATCTATTTTACAACTGATAATGAAATCTGCCAGCAAGGTAAAGACAGGGCTAGTTAGAGTACATATAACGTTCCATGACCCCTCTTTTAACATTTCATAGGGGGAAAGCTAGGCAGGAGTTTTAAACAAGTATAAAGCACTTGAAAATGTAAGGATACATTTTTTTATTTTTTTTTTACTTATGCAATGTAAATGGGAACATAACAAACATAAAATAGGTGTTAGCCAAATTTGGCTGCAAACGGGGAACTACACTCTAAGCCCGCCGTTAGCTGCCTAAATACCTTCTGCTCCTTCTCTTGGTGTCTGAAATGTGTTAAATTAACAGCATATTGCAATGCAGTAGATACTATTGGCTTCAACTCTCTGCCTCACTGCTCATATGAAAGAGATTCTTAAAGTGGTTGCTTTTAGTTGATTATACAACCAGTACAGCATGTGTATTGTAAGCAAGTGACTTCTTTTTCTCCCTTGTGGTTTGCTAAAGTTTTGCCCCAGTGTAACAACTTCACATAATTGCAGGAAACTAGGCCTGTGTGTATCTGTATAGGATACCCCATACAAATCAGTGAGAGTGGGTGCAGGTCACACGCTATTTCTCCTTTAAAAACTATGGATAGCCCCTATGTGACTATGAATGTGTAGTATCAGAGACAGGGACTGATGTCCTTTTAAAACCTTGTTCATTATAAAGAAGGGATATTTAAAAAAGCAGCAACTCTCTAGTAAAACTTTTTATGTATAAATGTGTATATGTTTAAGAAAATGACCATCCGTTTCTGAAATTCATGTTTTAAGGTTTACAAAGAAGATCTACCTCAGCTCAAGCAGCAAAATAAAGAAAAACAAAATAATTTACCTTCCCTTAAGCGAGAAAAAGCCCCAGAAGAAAGCTTGAAATTAAAGTTTGTACATGGGTAAGTTTTTACTGAAATCCTAGATTTCAGTGGGGCTTTCTTGACATGACCGTTGTTGTCAAGCTTTGGAGTAATCTGAATTCAGTTTCAGGCACCCCAACAATAAATTCCACCTTAGAACAGAATTCAAGGCAAGCAAGTAAATACACAGTTACATATATGGGGGCTATCATAATTGACAAAGCATCTGTAATTCTGTCCCGCCAGTCTTGTTATCCATTAAAGAAGAAATTTGGGCATAACTGTTCGGGCCGTAATAATACCTCACCCCGATTATATAGTGAGAAACAATTGGGGCTTTTAAGGTATTTTACATCACTCAAATACAGACTCATATAGTGGGAATAAAAAATATATTCTTTATTATTACATAGAGATAAAACCGCACATATAATTCTGTTCAAACCATCCCTCGACTAAAGCAAAGCATACTCCAAGGAGATCCTCGATATTGTGTCATACTGAAAAAACTCACATAAGTTCAAAAGCTTGTTCAAGGACACTTCCCAGCTTACCTATTAGACAATGATAGATCTGCAACACATTGTGGATGTCATCACTGTGCTTACTCTGCTCTTTCTGCCTGTCATCATATTCCTTGTCAACACATGTGCATACAACAGAGCTTGATCAAATGCTCCGAGTGCTAGGCTTCCCTCTCCTAGAGTTCTGCTGTATAAGGAATTACGGGAGGCCAATATCAAGCCAAATTCATTTACTTACACTAGTTGCTTTCAATTTAGTGTAGTCTTCACACCCTCACAAATGTTTTTTTAATCTATGTTTTAAATAATGTATTAATGCTTTGGGTCCAGTTATGGACAGGAGCAGTAGGGCTTCTACAGGAATTTGTGTCAAGCTTTGAATTCAAATGAGCATAATCTCAGCTTTACCTTGACCTTTCATCATAGTCAAATTACCTTCTTGGATATCTGCTTGATGAACAAAACTGATAAGTCATTGATGACTTCTTTGTTTTGGAAACCCACTGTGGATTTTTAAATTCTGGGAGCTTTCACCCACCCAATTTAATCAAAGGGATTCCTGTGGGTCAATATCAGTGAATCTCAAGAAATTGAACAAAAGACACAATTTTTGAGCAGTAATCTAAAGCTGGGTACACATGGAGCGAATCAGTCGAAATTCACTCCGTCGGTGACCCTATACCCTCGACAGAAGTAGATCATTAGATTGACTTTTGGCGAAGGAACATGTTGAAAAGTTGTCGGCCGAATGGTGCTTTAGCCTATCACCTGCAAGCACTGTTCAGGTAGTCTGACACAATACAAAGATCACATCTGGAAATTTGTCCATCCACTTTTAACATGGATGGAGGAATCTGTTATATTTTTTCCTTTTAACCTGCAGCTGGAATGAAAAAAATATAACGGTGTATACCATACTTTAGAAATTACTCTTGAGATTCAAAGAAAGGGCTACAAAGACAAAACTCTAACACAGGTCTACAAACGGACTGAAAAGATAAGATATAATTAGGTCTCTTGGAGACCTTCTCTTGGACATGAAGATTCTTCTATCCAATTTATCGCAAGTTATTCTTATGTTGTGTTTTACAAATAAATACGATCCTAAGAGAACACTGGCATTAGCTGCAGAGAGACCCTATTATATCTAAAGTCGTGACACTGGTAGCATCAATTACCTATAGATGTCCAAGGTCAGTTGAAGAACAGTTGGTTTATAGCCATTTTCTAAAAGAATGCCCAGTTTGTTGTCATACAAGAGGTATGTATAAATGTAGTTCTTGCACGATATGTAAATATGTAAGAAGTTTGGAATTTTTAAATGGAAGGGTTGTACACAACATATTATGCAAATGACAACACAGGGGGGTTCATGTCCTCCTCTGCGAATACAGAGGCATATACAGCAGTAAAATTAGAATCTCAGATCACATTTCTGACATTACATCTGGAAATCTGTGATCTACAATAGCTCGTCAAGCCTTATATAAACACAATGATTGCATGTAGTAAACTTTTTCAAGGTATTACGTAGCTACAATTAACTTTACTACATTTTTCCTATTACATAGCAAACCTTCACTTCTGAGTTTTGGTTCACTTTGGGAATCTATACTATATCAGGTCAGGATTCATATGCAGGGAAGCAAGGGCAGAATTTTTATGGACATTCCTTACAAAACATATGCCTGAAAGGAACTTAATATTTCACTTCAGCTTTTATTCAGGCCATAGTAATTATTAGAAGTACCATTTTGTATTTTTATGGGTCTACTTTAAACAGTGATGGGCACTTTTTTGTGCCATTTCAGTAATTGCTTTGCTTTCCTGTAATTTTTTCCACACGCTTCAGTTTTAATTCACATTACTGTCACACATTCACACGACAGGCTTTTCTATCAAATGATCACGGGAACATATTTAACCAGCCCGTTGTGAAAGTGATTCCCCTAATCCACTATCACATCATCATAATTATCATATCATTCCAGACGGTAGAGACTGAAATAGCTTTGTAAAATAAAGGATAAAGTGCAATTGTCAAAGTCAAATGTTGATTTCAGATGACATGCATTTATTGGTGTAAAACTTCTTAAACCTCTTGAGTGTTCTATATTGGAACCAAACCTTGTTATTGAGTTAGTTACATTATTACATAATCTTCAAGGTTTACTGTTTTTGAACATGAAAAGGTATGGGACTTATTGCTGTAGATTTAGTCAAATTTAGGTTAGGGTGCTGCTTGGAAACATTAAGTATCAGTAATCTACAACTGTATATAATTAAGATAATAACAAAAATATGGACAAAACATAAATATAAAAGTCAAATCAGATTCCTTGAGGTAAGCTCTGCAATAAGCTCACTGAAAATATACTGTGGTTTCCCTTTAATGGAAAACTGTACTTTTCAAAAACATTAACCATTTTATTATAAGTAGGCACACCAAGCAATTTTGCATTTTCTGCCTTTTTCCCTTGTGTTTTAGGTTTTGTCATCCCACTTTATTTTGTTTATCTCTGCACTCAATAGCAGGCAATTTTTAGGTCTAATTTTCAGATGGACCTACCGTATGTCATCTGGCCTGTTTTTAGTGTGACAAATTAATAAAACATAAATCCTTAAATGTAGTTTTTTTTAATGCAACTAGTGCAAGTACCTAAATTTGAACCTGAATGGACAGATACAAGTCCTTTGGCAGGTAAAGTGGCTCCCTTATATATACTTCAAGATTTTTGTATTGAATTAATAAAGAAAGATGAAGAGAACTTTTTAAATATCTGTAGACATCACACAGTTGGTTACAAAACAATATTATAAAATGTTTTATTAGTTTATATATTTGTCCAAATTAACTTTGTTATTGCATCTGTCTTGGAACCCCCTTGCAGGTACAGAGGCTATGACTGTAGGAACAACCTGTTTTACACACAGACAGGAGAGGTGGTCTACCATGTAGCAGCAGTGGCTATGGTTTATGACAGGCTGCAGCACTCCCAGAGACTCTACCTGGGACATGACGATGATATTCTCAGTCTGGCCATTCACCCAGTGAAAGATTATGTAGCAACTGGACAGGTAAGGTGATCTTCTGAGGGTTTTTTTATATGCTGGGGTTTGGTTTTTATCCAGAAATATTGCAATGAGGTGGATTACCTTGTTTGTTAAAGTGAAACTAAACTCAGGAGTTATATCTTAAAAATACATTCAAGTACCTTAACTATTAATAAAAATATATCTTATTTGTATATCACTCGGCTGTAGATCCTCAAATCATCTCTGGATTCATGCTGACACTGTCCTTCCTTCTGGAGCGGTGGGTACTTTACAACACACATAGGGACCATGGGGAACAAAAGTAGCCACCGCTCCAGAAAGAAGGACAGTGTCAGCATGAATTCAGAGATTATCTGAGGATCTACAGCTGAGTGATGCACAAATAAGACACATTTTTGTTAAGGTGCTTGAATGTATTTTTAAGATTTAACTCCAGAGTTTAGTTTCACTTTAACTGAGAACTGGGTCTTAAAGTAGAGCTTAAAGTGATATTAAAGCCTAACTTTTTTAAAAAAAATTCTACTTTAAGAAGACCCTCCTTTGCTGGAGGCTGTTGATTTTATTCTTTAAAAGTTCCTAATTCCTCGTTTTCTAGTGGCTCCCCACAGCACACTTCCCCGCGCCCCCTGCACGGGTTCCACCATCGCTCTAATGGAGGCACCCGTGCGCGCTCCTGCCCGCTCGTTTCAGCAGTAGCTGTGTGCGTCCATAGACACATACAGCCCCGTGGCAGGCCACGCCCCTTCCCTCTTTGATTGATGGCAGAGGAGCCTATGGCTCCTCTGCCATCAGTATCCTCCCCCTGCAACCCGGAAGTTCGGGAAACCGAGGATCTCTTCGGACCGGCGGCAGGGACGAGCGCAGCTGACATGTTAGTGTGGAGGGGACTAGGGGGGACTGGGGTAGAAAAAAGGTGCTGAACCGTTTTTACCCTAATGCAGAGAATGCATTAGGGTAAAAAATGCCCAGACCTTTATGCTACTTTAACCTTAAAAAATAAAAATTGCCAGCAGGTAGGCTTTTTATTGCAGTAGAGACTCTCTATGTTTCTTTTGCAATAAAAGCTACTCTTATGCCTGCCAGCAATTTTTCTTCTAAATGTACACTGAGCTGCACATATCTCGATGCACATGCCAATCAAGATAGCAAAACTAGGATGAACATGTCAACGGTGACGATTGAACGACTGTTTTGCATTTTATTTTCGACTGTTTGTCTAATTCTTGCAGTAAACCCAATGAGACAAACCCAGTAATATGTGTTTTTATGAAACAAGAATTATGTGTATGCAAACTACTTACAGTTACAGGAAAACAATACAAGAAATACAGATTGCTTCAAACATGCATATGCATCTCGTATGCACATGCTATGTATGCTTTCCTAGCAAATGAGCATTGGCAATAGTCTGTATGCGATAGTGATACACTTAATGTCAGTTAGCTTCTGTTATAGCTGGTCCATGATTTCCTTGGCGAACAGACTCCCAGCATTATTGGTTCTTGATTGTAGCAGTCTTTCTCTCTCTCTTGTAGTGAAGCTTAAGTGTTGTCTCCTGGTAGAGATCCCCTCTCGGCATAAGGTGCAAGTCATTTTTTAGAGAAGTTTGTAGCCTTTCCAACTCGTTTATTAGCTCATCCCACTTGGTAGTACAGCAGTCTCTATAAGGGAAGCATTTCTGCCTGCAGCATAGTACTATAAACATACGTCAGCTATGTCAAAAGGTTTAAGCAATTATTGATTCTTATTGACACATCTGCTATAAAGCTTCGCTCCAGTATTTGAACAGAGCTCCTCTAAACAATGGGAACAGCTAAAGATGTATATTTTCTTGGCAAATGGTTTACAGTAGTCACACATATACAGTTCTATCTTATGCAAAAACTTGCTTGATCTAACAATAGCATGTGAAAGAGACGTTCCCATAAGAAACTTAAAGTGACATTAAACCCTCAGATGTTTTAACATAAACCAATACTGTAAACACTTTAAGTTTGTTGTCTCTAAAAAATCAATAGGTGTGTGTTGTAAATTCACATGTGAATATTTAGATAGATGGATAGATAGATAGATACGATGTAGCCCAGTGATGAGGGTGATTATTAATACCAAGCACCCTAAGGCTGGGTTCACACCTAGGCGTATCGAATATGCGCATTTGTCGCGTGTTTTTACCGTGATTCGCGGTAAAAAACGCACGACAAACGCGCGTTTCCGAGGGCTACTTGGCTGTATCCCAATGGAAATGCGCGACAAAAATGCCCCAAAGAAGCTCCTGTACTTCATTGGGCGTAGGACGTTTTGTAGCGTGTTCATACGGCCTGTAATACGCCCAGGTGTGAACCATACCTATAGGAAATAATGGGATTTCGGTGTTTGAGCGTTTTGCAGAGCGTTCGAACGCGCTACAAAACGCCCAGGTGTGAACCGGCCTTAATGTATCCTTAAAGACACCTTAGTGATATTCATGGTTTCAGCCCCTGTAGCGGGGGCATACCTAGAAATCACAGGGCCCCATAGCAACATTTTGTATGGGGCCCTGTGATTTCTAGTTACACCCACATGATATCCCAAACAGCCCACCTGAGAGTGACCCTGCAGAGCCCACCATAGACTCTCTATAGTGGGCTCTGCAGGGTCTCAGGTGGACTGGTCAATCCCTCTTACCTGTCAGCCCCGATCCTCTGTCTGCCTTCTCCTCCTCCATGGTCGCTGGCGAGCCCTGCTTCCTCCGTCACTGGACCCTGCCTCCTCCATCACCGGGCCCCACCTCCTCCATCGCTCGGCCCCACCTCCTCCATCGCTCGGCCCCACCTCCTCCATCGCTCGGCCCCACCTCCTCCATCGCTGCCGATGACGGGCCCAGCCACCTCCTCTGCAGCTGCTGGTTGTCACCGACTCAGCAGCAGCTGTGAGGAGGATCGCGCCGCTGCACACATCACTGACAGGTTGTCAGTAATTAATAGCAGCGCGTTCCTCCTCACAACCGCCAGTGACAGCCAGCAGCCTGAGATGTCATAGCGACCCAGGCGGTCCGCACAGCATCAGTGGATGTCCTGGCCGGGCCCCCCTGTGCCCCGGGCCCCATAGCTGCCGCCTGGGTCGCTATGGCGATTGTTCCGCCACTGCCCTGTAGCACTTGCCATAATGTGCAAGTATGCACAAGTATGCACAGCATGTTTGCACATTATTGCAGATTAAGGGGTTGTTCAAACCATGTCCATTGAGCTGCATTTTTCTGCACACCACTGAACAAGTATGGTGTTAACAGGGCACATAGAAAACAAAATGTAATCAGTGACATTGAGTATAGCTTGTAATAGACTAATTTCTTGTATGCCTTTGTTTCTGACTGCAATGTCTTTGTAATCAATACATTCATAATATTTCTATAATACTGTATAAGCTAATAGATGCTTGCAGTAAATGGAAAGATGTGAACAGTGGAAGATACTGACAGATAGCTATAATGTGTTATTCAGATTGGAAGAGATGCAGCAATACATGTGTGGGATACTCAGACACTTAAATGCCTGTCACTGCTCAAAGGCCAACACCAGAGAGGGGTCTGCGCTCTGGATTTTTCAGGTAATGGTTATACATTCTATTGCCTACATTTGTATTATGTTGACGTTTTGGCCAAGCACCATACAGGAAGGCTACTTTCGCTAATGAGGTGTATGGTACTAACAAAGAGCCCATGTCATGAAGTGCAAGCTAGGAAATAATCTTTATTCTTGTTCACTGAGGTACACATGATTCAGAGACATTTGGGTTATACTGCTGACTACAGGAGGATTTGTACACTGGCAAGCAAAAAAAAAACCAGTGACCAGCCTGGTATAATCCCTCCCACTCCCAGCATGCCTCCAGTTTTTTGCCAGTTGTCCTAGGAGGATGAACGTTATTTGAGCATCTACTGAGAAATCTTTACTGTTATACTAGCCTTTTTTTAAAAAAAAAATTTTTTTCATCATCTAACAATTAACCTTGACCTGGTCTCTTATGCAGCTATATAAATTAATACAATGGTGGAAGAATATAGTCTTAGCAAGGGAACTAAATGTTACCAAAAAGTGTTAATCACAATTCAAGTTCGATTTTTACAGGTTTAAATGTAACTATTAGTAATTTCCACAAGCATGTGATTGTTATTTTAGCAGTCAAGAACATAAAGGAGATTACTGGGAGGATTTGAGTATATCTGAGATTGGCTGGTTCAGAGGAGCTTCAGCTGGAGATTTATGTAGATTCATTTGTGTAACAGAGTTAACAAGGAAAATAAATCTGTTGCAAAATGTCTTCACCTTTTAGCATGTCTGTCATGTATAATTTATAGTTCCTTTCTGTCTACATCACCTCTCCTAAAGCATATGATGAATCTTTTATATGTATATTTTAAAATATTTTTTTAGTTGCTATGTTAAATATTAAATACATGACAATAATAATGTTAACTAGGGTAATATGAAACATATTATATAAATGATTTAAATTAAACCGGACCTTGCAGTAAATGCTGTCTGGGCCCCCTTCAAGAATCATCTAATGTTAGTAGTTCCAAAATGTACCTGTAAAAAAAAAAGTTAGATTTCTACTTACTTTACCCCCGTCATCTAGACAAAGATGACATCACATTCCTTTCTGGTAGGTCCTGGGGAATACAGAGCATCTGAAATCTCATGAGAAGAAGCTCTTGCAATTGACTAGAGTGTTTGTTTTTTGAGATTTTGCCTGCTCTTCATTCCCCAAGAATCTACCTAGAAGTGACACCCAGCGGTGTGGTCGATGGGGGGTTGGAAGGTATTATTCAAAATGTTTTCTTAACAGGTACATTTTGGTAACATGATTGTGATTTTTAAAGGAGAGGTGGCTGCAAGGTCCACTTTAAACACACACAACCAGCATACATTGAGGTCCAATCTAGAGAACCAGTTTGCTTCATATTTTTTTTTTTCATCTTAATCTGGCCATATACACTAAACTGTGTGGTAGGAGGGATCTCACACTGGGCCAAGCTTCAGCTTCTGTCTTGCTAGTCGGCCTCGCTGGCTGTCAAATACCTGAACAATGCATATCAGATTGTTCAGGTATTTTGAGAGCCAGCGGGGCCGACAAGCAAGATACTGAAGCCACACAGTTTAGTGTAGATGGAGGAATCTGTTGCACCTTTTCCATCTGACCATAGGCTGATAGAAAAAAAAACCTATAGAAAATATAGAGGTGTATGGCCAGCTTTAGAGTCCTAAAGAGCAGTCTTTGCTCATACATTTTAATATTTACAGATACATATAGAAATGAATTATACTCCCCTGTGACAGTAACCATGGATTGTAACTGCAAATACCAAACCGTTTTAGAAACACAAAGTACTATAATTAAGTGAACTGTGCAGCCTGGCAATTTGCTGCAGTTATATGATGACTTGGAACTGCAAATTATCAGTCAGATAGTCACCTGTATTTAAGATTTTTTTTAAAAACAGGTTACGCAGAAACATTCTTTTATTTTAAACTGCCATTTAACTTGACTTAAAGGCCCACTATAGCGTGCATGGGATCAATTTTTAGCTGCCTGGAGTTCTTCTTTAAAATACTGTAGTTTCTATAGGAAACAATGGGCATAATCTTTATATCTAGATGTGTTTCCCTTTGACAGTTCTCAATGAAAAACTTTCTCAATGTGTTTAATCAGTATGATAAGATAATGTATACTTTACACTGTAAGTTGCATGTATTCATGGCTTTTTGTATAACAAATATCTGATTTATTGAACTCATGTATTTCAGCTGATGGCAAATGTCTAGTGTCCATTGGCCTGGATGATAATCATAGCATTGTATTCTGGGACTGGAAGAAAGGAGAGAAAATTGCTACAACCCGGTATGTTGTGTGTTCTCTTTATTATAGTAGGAATTTTACAAAGGATAATTTTATGTCTGTCAGATGAATATTCTTGTATACTACATTATTTAGACAGACCACATATATAGTACCATATTTATATTGACCATTAGTGTATTTGTTTCAAGTGTATGTAACACCGAAACTAGTTGTAGTAGTAGAAAATGTTTAACTCCCATGTCAGGTTTATTTATTTTCTGTCTTTCCTCCATAATGGAGATTTCTATTCAATTCCTGTCGCAGAGACAAAACAGGTAGTAAGGGGACATCTCTCCAAATCTGGGGGGAAATCCCTCCTAACAAAGCATAAATGGGGCACCGGCACGCCAAATGGTGAATAGTGCATCTTTTATCGACAAAAGTGCAGCATATCACATAAATGCAACATTTCGGGGTCACGCAGGATCCCCTTCCTCAGGCAAGATATGTGACCCCGAAACGTTGCATTTATGTGATATGCTGCACTTTGTCAATAAAAGACGCACTATTCACCGTTTGGAGTGCCGGTGCCCCATTAATGCTTTGTATATGTAACTACACCATCCGTTGTACACCGCAACACCCCACAGTCGGTTCAGGACATATCGGTCAGGAGTGCTATGGGTTCATGGACTTTTATCACCTTCTAACAGCCCCCACAATCCCTGTGGCTAAAATGTAGGATCCCCCATCATATTCTCCCCTGGAGCTCCAGAATACTTCTTCATCCAATTAAAAAAGACCTTTGTTCTGAATTCTTCTGAGACTAGGGATGCACAGATATATCGGCCGCCGAAAAAAAAATATCGGCCAAAAATGGCACTTTTGGCTAAATGCCGAAAGTGCCATTTTCCTGCCGATACATCGGCGCAGCCGTGATTTCTTTCCTCCCCGCTGTGCGCTGCTCAGCGTCCCATCGGGGAGGAGAGAAAGTGACAGCCGGCCGAGCACTGCGGGACAAGAGCGCTGTGAGCGACCCGGTGTCTTTCCTCCCACACCGCTCAGCCTCCTATCACAGTGCGCCAGAGTGGTGTGGGGGCGGAGACAGCGCTGTCAGAGGAGGCTGGGCTCTCCTCTCGCACCGCTCACTCAGCCTCCTGTGACCGTATGTGTCAGAGAGGAGAGCAGGCTACATACACTCAGTGATCAGTGATCGCTGAGTGTTTGTAGATAATTGAGGATATGGTATGGTTAATATATCCTCAATTATGAATGGATGGGAGTGATCTATATCCACTCCTGTTCATTCATAGTTGTTGTTATAGTAAACATACTATATTCTCAAGTTATCAATGAACAGGAACACTCATAGAGGATTCCTGTTCATTGATAACAGGGGATACAGAAAAAGAGATTGAGGACTCTGTTCTCAATCTCTTTTTCTATTTTAAAAGGGAAATATCAGGGGTCTGTTTAGACCCCTAATATTTCCCCGAAGCCCCTAAAAGTAAAGTAAAAAAAAAATATTTAATAAATAA